ACAGAAAAAATGGTTGAAAAATATTGAATCAAATTTTAAACCAATTCAGAAAATGGTAGAAGATATAAAAAATCTAAACCAAGCAAAGAATCTTCCAAAAACCTGGCATAAACGGAATAAAAATACTTTTTATTGGTAATTCGAAACTTGCAAATCTCATATTATAAGATTATGTAAAGCTAATAATAAAAGTTCAAAACATTCGAATAAACTTGGCTTTTTCTTTTTTAAACACAATAGAAATTTTAATTATAATATTTAAAATTTAATTAAGTTTTATAACGATAATATTAATATATAATGTAAAAAAAATGCCGTTGACCTGCTGAGTTACGAGATCAGATCAGATCAGATTTTAAACAGCGATGTAACTGATTTTGGTGGTCATGCTAGGGGGTTGTGTACTATATAGTACTATAACTCCGATAAAATTTTCTATATGCTTTAGCTTTTTATTTATTTTTTTTGTGTGTGTGTGTTTTCTTTTTAAAAAAGTACTTTAAATTGTATAAATATTTTAAAATTAAACAGAAGCAATTAGCCAATCAAATGATTGTTTTCCTCGAATAAGATGCCAATTACAAATTTAGAAATTACAAGATAATATTAAAATAGATTGATGAAAGAAGATAAAAACAAGCAATAATTGACAGACGATGTTCATTAATATTATCATATAAATTATTTGTCTAACTGTATATGAACTGTATACAGTATAAGAAAGATATAATGACTTACCCATAATGGTTTGCCCGTTGATCCAGAGATTTTGATAATACTGATTTTTCTAAATACATTCTCTAGTCATAATACCAAACTTCTGATCTCAAACATTTTGCTCGTAATATATTGAATATTCTCTATATTAACACTTCAAAAATGCATGCTATAACTAAAATTCCATGCAGAAGCTTTTTATTTAAAGATCGGAAGCTACGTAAATGCCATAATTTTTCTATTTACAATTTCTTAAAATTTTACGTTTATGTTGCACAATATTATGCCAAGGTTCTGTGAGACGCAAATTCAGAGGGATGGCATGTGAAACAATCAAATACGTGGATTTGCACAAAACACTTTCACTCTCACTATAACCATATACTTGTCGCACTGCGTTCCTGTCATTGATATATGTTGCATAAACTTCTGCTGTCAGATTGTGATTATGTGTAAGCTCTGTTTTCGGTATTCCTAATACTATAAATGTTTAAAGAAAGGGATGAAAACAAGAAAAGGTATTATTAATTCTCGGTACTGGTATTTGTTGCTCCGGTTTTTAAAATAAATTGGGGTCTTTTAATAATGATAGAGTAAATAATTCACGACTAGCTGTCGGATCTGTGATTCTATGTTTCTTGTTTATCAAGTATTATTATCTAAAGTTTTCATTTATTTGCGCCGTATAATTTGAAAAGAAACAACCAAAAAACTTGTGATTTTTGGATACCAAAAAGGAGGGATCGCGTTTGTTCGTATCAATAAAAGATAACACTTTCAGCCAAAGTTATTTATAGATTATATGAACGAAACCAGAAATGAGTTGGAGATCTTTGATATTTAAACTAAAATTCATGATATATAGCATTTCTTTCTTTATTATGAAATATATATATATATAATTCACTTTTTATGTTTAAATAGATTTCTAAATAGGATAAAGAAAGTTTAATGAACTTTTTTATGTTTAAATGGATTCTAAAATAGGCAAAAGAAGAATAAGATTACTGCCGTGAAAAATACGATAAATACCAGCAGTACTTATATTGTGCAATTTAGTAATAGTATTAAGAGAAAGAAAAAAAATAATGAACCTGAAATTTAATAATTGTATAATTTTTGCATTATTCAAAATCATTTCATGTTTTGCTTTACCTCAATCTACTCAATCTGCTCAACAAAGCACAACTATTAGATGTGGCAAAGATTTTGGCGGAATTAATTGCCCAAATAACCCTGATGGATCCTGTTGTTCCCAATATGGATACTGTGGTAATTCTGAAGAACACTGTTCTCATTTATACAATTGTCAATCAGGTTGTTGGAATTCAAACCCAACAAGTACAAATAATTCTTCAGGAGAAAATGGAAATAATTCAGACTTGATGTATAAGATTCTCGTACCAGTATGTTTATTGTTTGTAATTTTAATAGCTTTTTTTGTGCTTTGGAACAAAATACTAAAAGAAAAAATGAGACAACTCCCTAACTTTACCCCTAACCCTAGACCTACCTCAATTTCTATTCAGATCTGTAATATTCAATGAAAACACAGATTTTTTATAGCCATGAGAAAATTTTTAGTGCTAATCTGCAAAAAATTTAAAAAATAAAAATCTGCGCAGAATAGTATTTACTTTTTATTAAATAGCCATCAGGTTTGAAGATATGCGTAAATTTGCAAATATATACAATATATAGCGAGCACATATCATGTGGCGGCTTCTTCTCCTAGTTTTAACTAACAGACTATTGTCAGTAGTGTTTGTAATCGACATAAACTTATTTACTTGACTAAGCTGATATTTAAAAATCAGCTTGGCCGACTAAACCAAGTCTATTGCTTGTAGCGTCTATAATGTATTGTCGTGAAATAAGCCTATGGGCGTTATTTAATGTAATGGCCCGAATTAAGCATAATTTAAGCAAAATTTTGAAATTACACCCCTGCGCGTTATTTCGCGACAATTCGTACAGATTTTTACAATATATCATTTACCTTTTGTTATTTGATATTCTAGTTGTAAAACCCATTTTATTTTTACATGTTATCTGGCTTTGTTTTTGATTGAATCAACCAAGTCCATTATTTAAAAAATCAGCTAACTTAGTAACTAATCAATTCGACTACATCAAATTTACTACAATCATCAACTGCAGTAGTTGATAATTTTTATTAATTATGGTTTGTTTGAATAGAATTATAAAATACAGAAGTTCGTAGCTCTTAGACTTTCATTATATTTCTCTTGTTCGAATTCTTTTAAATTAATATTATATATTTTTAATATTATATTTCAGAATAGTATTTCTTTTTATCTCTTCACTTGTTTAGACCTTGTTTAAGTTTAGCTTTACTCTTTTTATGTCTCGGTCTCGCTTCACTTGGCCAGATTTAAACTCTACACTTTTTAGAAACGACGTTTATTTATACTGTGATATATCATATTGCAGGTTCAAGTTTTAATAAAATTACAATCCAAAATTATATAATCAAATATTTTGTGACTAGAGATGGGAAATACGGATTTTCAGAAACTTGCGCATGGATGCGCATGAGTATGCATTTTTTGCTGGACAAAATTCAGTATAATTTCAAATTTATTTACATACGGTTCAAAGAATAATATATCTGATTTTTAGGCTGAAGACAAAATAAGGATTCGGCAAAAAAGTTATTTCATTGTTCTGGCCTGCATTACATGGTTGTGTACCAAAGTTATCTTAATTCGGCTAAATTAATGGTTGACACGGTTAAATGGTTATAAAATTTTGATGACATTCACGTAAAAAAATAGAATTATACGAATAAAAATGCGTATTATTGTACACATACGAAATTGCGTTGACCAATCTTTAGATAATACTTTAGCATCAGAGCTAACAAATTTCATATATAAATCTTGATGTGAAAAATGCGCATTTTGCGCATCTGCCCATCTCTAGTTACACTATGTTCCTGATACGTACTGCTGAAAGTCATGTGATTTAAGCTGTAATTGCCAGCCTGTGTATTTGAATAAGTTGGCTTAGGCCGTTCTCAAGCGCCTACCTCGATGGATTTACAGAACGATCTGATTGGTTGAAAAAATTGATCGTGATTATCAC